AAACAAGTAGGTTCAATTATTTCTTATAAGTATTACCAGTAATGGGTCAAAAAGTTTATTAAAGAAACTAAGAAAATTGAATGTTTAAAATGTCATGAGTTACTATATTGTATATTATATTTAAATATATTGTTTATTTACCTTTAACATAAAAGTATCTTTATTTTTACTATATTTTTTATTAATGTGTAATATATAATAATATTAGATGTACACCTTACATTTGTTTAAATTATATAGTAAATATTACTATTTGTAGATAGTAAAATCAATTTACCATACAAACATATTAAAAATTAAAATAGGTATATTAGGGTGGAGTGAATTTTTTTAAATTTATTAATTGATTTTTCCTATATTATTAATTGTTGACTAAAGGCGTAAAATGAATAAATATCGAAAAAATATTCCAATTTTTTAATATCTTGAGGTGGCGCATCTGTCTCGAAGTTTTGAAAATTCTAAAAAAATATTACTTTAATCAAAGTAATAAAAATAGCATTATTTAAATATAAAAAGTTTATTTTAGTAAAATTAACGTGAAACGTAAACATATTTAATAGTAAATCATAATAAGTAACTTCAGGAGTGTTTATTGGTAGAAATGAGATCTTCTTTTTCGCGAAAATACTGACATTTGGTATCAAAATTTGGTAATTATTTTCTGACTTTAATTCTTGTTCTGATGAAACTATTTCTTGCTTCCGATCCACAAACCGAGACTGAAGATTCAGTATACTGGTTATAACTAGTTTTACACAGCGTTCCACTGCTTGGGTGTGACACTGAAATTTTTGGAAGTATAGGAAATGGTCACCCGAAGAAATCATATCGGTAATTTCTGTCATCGTATTTCATAGTCATAGGTGGTTCAGTCACCTTTTCTGTCGCCCAGTGAATTAACTGGTACAAACGTAATGCTTCAGTATTTGGTTGTGGAAGCTTTAATTCCCGTAATCTCGAACATTTTGATTCTTTTCTCGCCTTTAATATTTTCGGCAATGCTAGTTCTCTAATCGATAGATATATTGTAGGTAACATAGCAAGTAATAGGTTTTCGGGATAAATATTTCGCTGAATATTCTTTATAACTATAGTTATAAGGCCTTCAAGTTTTTCTGGAGATGTAATGCTCTTTTAGTCATATTAAATATGTGAATAGGACCATGTTTGCACGTAGGCTTGGTGTTGATGTAAAACCACGTTGGGGCATACACTTTCATGATAAAAGTAGCCAATTCTTTTAGGTTTTCCGATGGATTTGCTGTCCCCCCATATAAACAAATAATCCTATTAGCCCACGTCAGCCATAGGGATTGTAATAGCTTGCCTGAATCTTTGTAAGCTATAGCTAATATTTATCCCGAAAACCTATTACTAGCTATGTTACCTACAATATATCTATCGATCAGAGAACTAGCATTGCCGAAAATATTAAAGGCGAGAAAAGAATCAAAATGTTCGAGATTACGGGAATTAAAGCTTCCACAACTAAATACTGAAGCATTACGTTTGTACGAGTTAATTCACTGGGCGACATAAAAGGTGACTAAACCACCTATGCATAGGTGGTTCAGTCACGACTATAGTATATATGAAATACGATGGCAGAAATTACCGACATGATTTCTTCAGGTGACCATTTCCTATACTTCCAAAAATTACCGTGTCACATCCAAGCAGTGGAACGCTGTGTAAAACTGGTTATAACCAGTATACTAAATCTTCAGTCTCGGTTTGTGGATCGGAAGCAAGAGATGGTTTTATCAGAACAAGAATTAAAGTCAGAAAATAGTTACCAAATTTTGATACCAAATGTCAGTATACTGACATATATTTTCGCGAAAAAGAAGATCTCATTTCTACCAATAAACACTCCTGAAGTTACTTAAAGCATATGATTTACTATTAAATATGTTTACGTTTCACGTTAATTTTACTAAAATAAACTTTTTATTTATAAATAATGCTATTTTTATTACTTTGATTAAAGTAATATTTTTTTAGAATTTTCAAAACTTCGAGACTGATGCGCCACCTCAAGATATTAAAAAATTGGAATATTTTTTCGATATTTATTCATTTTACGCCTTTAGTCAACAATTAATAATATAGGAAAAATCAATTAATAAATTTAATAAAATTCACTCCACCCTAAGGTATATATTATACATTTATGATTTAGTAATATTGGTGTTGTAATCTTTACTAAAATTGTATAATAAAAAATAGTATTTTGTATTACAATCTTAATATTGTATTGACAAGTAATTTTTCTAATTTTTTTTTACTATCTAAAATATACTATACATTTCTCTCCGTGCATAGTTTCTCTGCTCAATTTTATTAATTTTAATTTTACCTTTCATGTCAGGACACATGAAAGTAAAAACCTTTTTTACGTTATAAATTTAATTTGGACAAAGTCAAAGTTAAACGACAATTTAATAACTGACAAAATGAAATACACTATTTCAAGTTATGTAAGTGCTTTATAATTAACTTTAACTTTTCGGAGCAATTTAAATTTAAATTATAAATGCTGAAACTAAATGTAGTAGCAACAGTTACTGTTTCTGTCATGTCTTGATTTTTGTGATTATTTTTGCAAAAGTTTGTTTTTGTCATAAAATATAATACACATAGATATGCTTTTATATTTTCTTCTATGTATGGGTATCTTTTTTATTTAAAAAGTATTAAAATGGAATAAAAATAATGAAAAATAAAACTAAAAACCTGTCATAACAAAAAATCGTCCTTTGAAACAAAGTAATAGTTTATGGTACTAGTGTGTTATGTTAAAAATAAGTCACGCGAGAAAGATTTATACCACGAGGCCGGCAGGCTTTGTGATAAAATCAAAGCTACTTGCGTCTCAGTACCCTATAAATGTCAGAATGACTTGACAGTGACTTTTTTACATTTTAGTCAAAGTAGGTTGTTTGTTTGGTTGCCACGGGCATGATACATTGTTAGCAAATGTTTAAATAAATTTTGACACTTGTCAGTTTTTCCTGCAGAAAAGGGAAGCTTTTTTGAAGAAAAAACCGTATAGAAAATGGAGGAAACCGATGAAAATTACGTTCCTGATGATATCCTTACGGAAGCGGAAGAAGCAGCGATGCAGATTTTGCCAGAAAAGTCCCGAGATGCTTACGACAAAGAGTTCAAAATGTTTGAGTCTTGGATGAATTCACGGAAGATAAAAGGTATCGATGAAAATGTTCTATTGGCTTATTTTTTACATTTCCCAAAAAAATTAGCCCCATCGTCGCTATGGACCAAATACTCGATGCTTCGCTCGACTATTCACCTTTATAAAAAGATTCACATTTCAAAATATGGCAAACTAACGAGTTTTTTGAAAAGCAAATCACAGGAATACAAACCAAAGAATTCCAAGACATTAGAACGACCTGAAATAGAGAAGTTTTTGAACGAAGCTCCCGACGACGAGTACCTGTTGATGAAAGTGGCTTTGATAATGAGGATTAGCGGTGCTTGTAGAATCTACAATGTAGATGCGAAAAACTGATCAATTTGAAAATAGAAAATATTCAAGACAAAGGGAAATATTTTCACGTAGTTTTGACAGACACTAAAACCAAGAAATTGAGAAGTTTCACCATACTTGAAGAAGGATTCCCAGTCAACCCGATCAATTTGGGTAAAAAATACATGTCTTTGAGACCAAAGAATACTAGTTCTTATTTTTTACAAAAAGGAGAGGTGTACCAGCCAGTGTGTGGGAATAAATACGTTGTCGAAGATACCTTCAAGAATTGCAATGTTTTTGAAATTGGAGGAGCCAGCGCTCTACACCGGTCACTGCCTGAGAACGTCTTCTATTTTGGCCAATGCAGGGGCTAACATGACTACTTTGAAGCGTCACGGAGGATGGAAGTCCTCGACGGTAGCAGAAGGATACCTTGAAGAATCGGTGCATAACAAAATACAAATTGCAGAAATAATACAATTTTCTAATGCTTCGGCGTCTTCCAGCACCATTAGCAGCTGTACCTATATGGGAGCGTCTGATTCCAATGAACCAACGAATTTTACAATGACTTCAAATTAGAATAAACCGTTAGCGTTTTCCTTTAATTTCAATGTCAATGTGAATTCTGCTTGTAATAGTAATAAATAAATAAAATACTACTTTAAATATGAACGTGAGTTATAATCCATAACTCACTATTGATTTATGGATTATAACACACTAGTGTGTTATTTGATAGTTTACTTGTCTAAAATGACATTAATAATGACAGTCATAACTGGCATGTGTGGAATAAACATTAGACTGGGCCAAAAAAATCAACTATTTTTTTTTGAAAATTATATTGAAAATATAGTTTAGGATGACAAAAAAAATTATTTTGAAAGTTTGAGTCCATAATATTAATATTAATTTTAATTTTTTTTTCCTCAGCAAGTTTTAGGCTCAGAACTCCCAAACCATTGAGTTTAACAAAATTGACTTAAATATTTTTTCAAGAAAATTAAATGATCTACAAAAAAGTTAAAGTAAAATTTTCCGTCAGATGAACCGTTTCCTTAAAACCATGCCTTAAAAATTGGTATAGTTTTACATTTTGATCTTTTAAATTGGAATTTTGTAATTCATGTAAAAATCAGTACCCATAAAAAACCGATAAATATTCTTATGGGAAATCAAATGCTTTACAAAAAACCCTCTTAACATTTTTGGCTAAATTCACTCAATCAAAAGTTATTCAAGGTTAAAATTTCGTTTTGACTTCAAATTTAACCTTGAATAACTTTTGATGGAGTGAATTTAGCCAAAAATGATAAAAGACTTTTTTTGTAGAGCATTTGATTTCCCATAAGAATATTTATCGTTTTTTTCAGGGTACTGATTTTTACTTGAATTACAAAATTCCAAAGTTAAAAGATCAAAATGTAAAACTATACAAATAACAAGTTAAAAAAAAATATTTGACAGTTTAATCTATATTATAATTTTTTTTTTCTAGGTGAATTCGGAGGTTTGGGCCTATCGTTTAGCTCACGCCCTTGCTCCTGACACTGACGATATGGTAAGTAAAAAACGCGAAATTATAAATTAAACTCCACAAAAAAATCAATCCCAAGGAGATGAAACTTTTATATTTATAGATAGAGAGTCTAGCCTGATATTAATAAGGTACCCATAAAACGCGAATAAAAATTTATGTTTCATACGAGCAGAAGAAGAAAATGATATTTTTATTACGAAAATAAAACATCTCGTTTACTGTTTCGACCGGCGTTACTATTTAACGCCCAAAAAATTTGTCGAAAATGTCCGACAAATCGGTCGATAGCATCTTATCTTCTCTGCTGGCTAATAAAAAAACGTATGCATAAAAAGTCAAGTTAATGCATGTTGTCGGCCATAATCTACTGTTGGATTTATATGAACGTCGACCCTGCCTATCTCTTCCATCAATCTTCCTTCAAAACTCGTAAAAAACCCTATAAAACCTTATACGAGCATCATCAGGCATGACAGTATGTGGGCTGAGAAACTATCTGAACTTAATGTGTTTAAAAAGTATCTACAACATAACGCATATCGTTAAATCAACTCTTTTCAATACCAAAAGTATTTCTGTAATTTTGTTTTTATAATGACATTGAATTAAGCTGCTTACACACTCAGTAAAGTATACGATCGCACGTTAAAAAACGCCTACTTTTGGTCCACTGCATGTTTTTCTTATACGTCAATATACTCGGAAAAAATGCTATTCAAGTCATTCCAAATAAAAACACCAAATGGGGTGCGCCGCTGGATTTTTTATTTTGATAAAAAAAATTGAGAATGATCTTTTAGGTATCAAATATGAAACTCCGTTGCCGTTTTAATTTTTGGATTCTTTACTTTTAATCTGCACCCTTTAGAAATCTGAAATCGTGTCAATTTCTTACTCTCTTATAGTGGGCCAGAACTTTTTTCTGTGGCAAATATTGAAATGATTTTAATTTTATTTTACTGTTCAGTAAGTGTGTTTTCAATATAAATTATTATTCAAGAATTATTATAAAAGAATGGTAAACCACTAAAGATTCATGATAATTTGTCAATTTTTGTGATTTTTGTCAAGTTACTTTTACTTTTTCAGGTATCAAGTTACTTGATTCAAGTACTTATACAATAGAAAACGTAACTATTATTTTAAGTTTCTAGACTATTACTTTCTTTATTAAAAAAATATTGAAACTTGATAATTCTTAAAATTAGTCAATTTTGCCCTCAGAAATCATTATGTTGAGGAAAAAATAAATATCTGAAACTTTCAGGAAATATAGTCCCCACCTTAATCTTTTTAGTCCAGTTAGTCTTGTTTTGTTATTTTATTCCTTTAAAAGATATATTAATTTTTTAATGCCCGTTTGGTAGCGATATTGTTAGTTTTATTTATAATTTAAAATTTAGATGGCTTTCATGTTTGGTGGAGAAGTGTCAGAACTGTCAAAAATATTTTATAAAATTTATAAATATTATTTAATATTATTTGTGCGTATTACTTTGGTAAAATTTGTATATAACATAATATGTCATATTATTTTATATACAAAACTTTTTAAAATCACCAAAGGAATACCACAAATATCAATTATTAAATATTTTTGACAGTTCTGATATATTTGGTAGTTATGTTATATTTTATGTATTGTATAATCATATATATACATATATATATACATATATATATACATATATATATATATATATATATATATATATATTCATATATAAATATAAATATATAAATATATTTATTATAAAGAAACTAAGAAAATTGAATGTTTATGTATTTAATTCGCTAATTGGTGTTTAAAGAAGAAGAATGTAACAAATATATTCAAGATCCTTATGGTTTATATCGTAAAGTATAATAAGTGAAATTAATAAAGTATAAAAATGCGTTAAGCAGTTTTTTGTCGGTTTCTTTCACAATTTAAACTAAGTTAGTCTTGTTCTATTATTTTGATGCCTTTAGTTACTAAAGTTTAGTAAGGCACTGAATAGTTAAAAGTTATTTTTATTTATTTTAAATGTTGGTGTTGGAAAAAAATTTACACAATCTGTAAATACTTCTTTAAATTTTAGTTTTTAGGTAACTGGTTAAAATAAAACATGTTATAATAAAGGGGTTTATTTAGAATATTTTTTGGTTTTTGCTTATTTTTAACAATTTAAAACTTCTCAGAACTTGTATATTTTCTATGAGAAAGAGGTACAAAATTATGATAATATCATATTATGTTCTTGCATTTTTAATTGCAATTAAATTCATGAATCTCGAATACTCCGTCATTTATTACACTTGCAAACTTGCACAAATAATATTTATGCACGATGACATTATAATATGACAATTATAACAAAAATTCTTTGACGTAAACGTCTTTTTATAGCCCGCGGGCGTTATTATGGCCCAGCGGGCTATAATGAAACGTCAAAAATTAAAAACAACAATGTTACACCATTTGATATATTCGAAGCACAGACCTGTGATTCGAAGTAAGTTTTTTCGTATAAAGATTTTGATTTTACCGGCAGCAGGCCGCAATTTTTCGCCTTTTCAGCTGCTTCCTCAATTTCATTTATCTTTAAACTTTAAAACTGACTGATGTCAGTTGACATAATATAACAAAAATTCTTTGACGTAAACGTCTTTAAAAACAATAATATATTAAAAATAATAATATATTAATCGTGCATAAAGTTTTGTATGCATTGCTGGCATAACTGGTTTTTATGGTCCTACGACGCTTTTCTAGCCCTCGCGCTAACGCGCTCGGGCTCGAAATAGCGCCTCGGACCATAAAAACCTTATTATGCCCTTAATACATAAATAACTATTATGAAATATTTTTGACAGTTCTGGCATTTGTCTACCAAACATGAATTGACTAAGTCAAAGTCATCTAAATTTTAAATTATAAATAAAACTAACCATATCGCTTCTTAACTGCACTAAAAAATTATTATATCTTTTACATGGATAAAAATAACAAAACAAGACTAACTAGACTGAAAAGATGAAGGTGGGGACTACATTTCCTGAAAGTTTCAGATTTTTATTTTTTCCTCAACATAATGATTTCTGAGGGCAAAATTGGCCAATTTTGAAAATTATCAAGATACAATAATTTTTTTAATAAAGAAAATGATAGTCTAGAAACTTAAAATAATAGTTACGTTTTCTATTGTATAAGTACTTGATACCTGAAAAAAAGCAACTTTCTAGATTTAGCAGAATAGGCACAGGACCGAGACAAAAGTCACAAAAATTGGCAAATTATTACAAATCTGTAGTGGTTTACCATTCTTTTATAAGATGAACTAATTAGATAATAATAATTAATATTGAAAACATATTTACTAGGCAGTAAAATAAAATTAAAGAAAATTAAATTTTCTACAAGTTTGTCCCACATTTTTTAAAGAAATTAGTCACTTTTGAAATATCTTCAAAAATATGAGAATTGTTCACTAAAAAAAGATTTAGTGACCCGTACCATCCTACAGGTGCAGATTACAGCTATGGCACATAAAGCATTTTTGTAGAACTTTTGATTACGAGTAAAGGGCCATTCCACGCGACTTTGTAATAGTCCCGCCCGTTACGCTTTAAATTATTAATTTTTAAGGAATTAAACAGTCAATCACGATACCTAATTTTGTGAAATAAAAATCTTGTTAAACAGCTTTTGTTTAGAACTATTTATAAAAATTTGACATTGGTAATATATATATATATATATATATATATATATATATATAATAGAAAAATATTATTTTGTAAATAAAAACACGGCAACTGTCCTATCCGTTAAGCGTGGAATGGCCCTAAATCCCTTTTTGAAACAATCCAATAGCATAAAATGCGGCTGAGATATAGATAATCAAAGTTTTACGTGTATTTTAAATGGGAAATCTTTATACGCTTTGGTAGAGTACTTTGAGTTAATGTTAAAGGCTCAAATTTTCAGGAAATTTTTGTTTAAACATTTTCAACAAGATTTTGAGTTGGAAGCGAAAAAATTAAAATAGTCGTGAAAAAAGCACCCTAATATACATATATATTATTAAAAAATATTTATCTACGTGTTTTACGGGATTTTGTAGAAGTACCCTTACAATGTTTTATTTTGATACCGGTAAAGTATTTGCAAGACATGATTTTCTTGTTGTCGTCTAAGCAAAAATATTTTATGTTCCTAAATAAAAATGTATTCCATCAAAACCGTCATCCTATCTTTAACGCTACAACAATGTAACAAAATGCGAATAGTCCAAATACTTACTTGACGAAAATAAAGAAAAAATAAAACGTTGATTCGGTCGATACAGAGAAAATTTCAACGTGTTTCGCCTTATTTTATGTTCTCGTTTTTCCGCAGCGGAATTTTATTTACTAAACTCGATAAATTTCCCGGGAATATGTCTGCCATTTTGAAAAACGGACTTATTTATCTTTCCAAACTTTTCGGTGTTGTTTGTTCAAAAAATTACGTGCGCGCATGCAAATTGCCGGAAATGCCTTGATGCCCTTTAAATGTAGTTTAAAATTGTTAATAATTTATTTAAGAATTTTCAGAATAAGCATTAATTTTTTAAAATATTAATTATTAAGCAAAATAATCGATCCACACAAATTTTCGATGAATTTCAATCGAAAATAACTTTTTTATTTGATTTCGGATTTAAACAAATATTAAAGAATATTGTAGATACATTAATGGAAAAAATTTAAAAATAACTAAAAAAATACACGTACGTTTATAATATACAGGTTTAAACAAAAAGATGTTTTTTACCATAAGTTTAAGACACTCTGTAGAGTGGCAGAACGGTATATTGTTTTATATTAAGTTTTAATTATCAAGTCACATCTATTTTTAACAGTTTTGTTTTTGGTTCACCTCGATATATTTAATTTTGTGGAGAATATGAATTAAAAAAAAATTGCAATTTTCAATATTTTCCTGTATGAAGAACTAAGGTTGCTATGGTCCATCCATAGGCTATGGAGGATGACAG